GTAATTATATATATTTTTTAAAACAAGATATGGCCCCTTTAATATTTGTTGGATTTAGTTTCATGGTTTCTGTGCTGTATTTCTTTTCTAGGGGGATCTTTACAGAAGGAGTGTGCTGTATCATTGCGGGGCTGCTGGGAACAGGAAATGGATCAACCTCTTCAAGTCCTAATATAGGGGTGCTTGGCATTACAAAGGTGAGATAATGCGAGACAGAAGTGGGTAAATGCAGTTTTTGTGACAATTGATCAGGGAGTGAAGCTGATATCAGGTGTATTACAGACACACTTTTCATTCCTTTCCTGTTGTCTCCCCAGTTTCTCTGTTTTCAGTGTCATTCATTTTGTAAATGTATGAGTGACAAGTTGTGGTTTTTCTTGTGTCTTGATTTCTCCTACAGGTGGGAAGTAGGAGAGTTATACAGTATGGAGCAGGCATAATGTTTTTATTGGGAACTATTGGGAAGTTCACCGCCCTGTTTGCCTCCTTACCTGACCCTGTCCTTGGAGGGATGTTCTGCACCTTGTTTGGTAATTGGACCTATTTGCATTTGCAGATGTTTTGTCCCAGCTTTGTCCACAGGGTGTCAGTATTGAGCTCAGAAACTCCCTAGTAAGGGAGTTTCAAATGGCACACTTCATGTGTACGAAGACTTGTGGTGGACAATGGCTGTCGTTTACGCTGGTCCGTTAAAGGGATAGTTCACTTTGAAATTCATTTATGATATGTTTTAGCTTACCTCAAGGGCATCCAACATGTTGGTGTCTTTGTTTCCGCAATACTTTCAATTTTGATATTTTTAGGTCAAACTGTTCTTGTTTGTCAGTCATATAATGGAGGTCTATGGTCACCACCTCAAAGAGCGTGCACACAGAGAAGTCCAAATTAAACATGATTTAATGACTAAATGTAAGTACACATTGATGGCCTAAGGCACGAAATGAGTGGTTTGTGTGAGAAAACGAACCTCACGTTTTTACCTCATGTAACCACAGCCACGTCCAAGTGATCTGAGGGCGCGGAGGCGTCGGTCTGCGCAAGCGCCGGAAGTGATCTAAGAGAATTAGTTTTAAAATGAGAAAATGATGGGTCGTGGTAAAAAATGTTTTCAATGTTGTTGCTTTTTCACTATTTTGATCAAATAAATGCAGCATTGGTGAGCATGACTTTTTTCAAAATCTGTTTTTATAAATCTTACAACCCCACATGGGTATGTATTTTGTGTAGTTTTAAACTTGTTTTCTGTTTTGGTTTGTACACAGGTATGATTACAGCCGTTGGACTGTCAAACCTTCAGAATGTGGATCTGAACTCCTCCAGAAATCTTTTTGTTCTGGGTTTCTCCATGTTTTTTGGCCTCATGTTGCCTAATTATCTGGACACTCATCCCGGCAGCATTAAAACAGGTTCATTATGTTTGATGCTGTTTTCTGATATATTTTCTTTTGCAGCAAGAAAGCTGTGGATGTTGTCAAATATTACTGTGAATACACATTCTTTTGATTGATTTTAACAGGTGTGGACGAGCTGGACCAAATCATCACAGTGCTCCTGACAACAGAGATGTTTGTAGGGGGGTTTCTAGCATTTGCACTTGATAACACAATCCCAGGTATGCATCCGACAGAGTGACTCAGAATATACAAATTCTTTAGATAAATAGACAACAAAGGCAGTGGCAGTAATGCAAGCTGTTCTACGTTCACCGTGTTTACATTGTGTGCAGGCACCAGAAAAGAGCGAGGACTGGTAGAATGGGCGGCTGAGAGTTCTTCGGGAGCAGGAGCGGTGACAACGAACACTTATAACTTTCCAATTGGGATGGGGTTGGTCCGGAAGCTGGGCTGCATGCGTTACCTGCCAATCTGTCCCACTTTCCAGGGCTTTAAGTCATCACGCCACAAATATGAGGAGGACGACATAAAAATAAACAAAGGTGTGACTGATGCTCCAGATGAAACGGTCTGCACCAAAATTTAGCCCGATTTTTTTTTTTTTTTTTGTTTGTTCCTTTTAACAACTAAGCACCAGTTCTGCTATCACACAAAATTTTTATTTGTTTCATTTTGCATCACAAACAAATAAGAAAAATGTTCTATTAAAAAATGGGTCCATATATTTATTGGAAAACTTGGACAAAGGGGATTTGTTCGTCTGACATCCAACCAAATGTGAAATTTGAGTTCATTATAAAGAATATGATCTTTTACTTAAATGACTTCAAATGAAAATGAAGGTCAGGTTTTTTTTTATTATTACATCTTGATTGTGTACAAAATACGCAAGTGATTTACATTAAACACAATATGCTCAGAAATCTTTAGCTTCAGAAAGTGGTGTTTAAAATACACACAAATCATTATGTATATACATGTTATTGTAACTAATAATGTTTATAAATACTAAGAGTGTATTACGTATGTATTCTATAAGAGCCATGAGACAAATTATCATTTGGAGTTTCGGTTTTCACAAAGAGGTCCTTAAGTTATTTTGTATTAAAATATAACTTAAAATATATCTTTCTGTCTGTCTAAAATATTTTTGTCTTTCTCATGTCAATTTGGATTTATTTGTAACACTTTATTAGGTTCAATAAGGGTAATAATTAGGGCTGTCAAACAATTAATTGCGATTAATTGCATCCAAAATAAAAGTTTGTGTTTACATAATATATGTGGGTGCACTTTGTATTTATATAATTATTTTATATATAAATACACACATGCTTGTATATATTTAAGAAATATTTTCATATATATACTGTATATAGATTTATATATAATTTATATTATATATAAATATAAATATTTTATATATAAATAAATTTTTTTTCTTAAATATACATGCATGTGTGTGTATGTGTATATATATAATTATACACAGCGCACCCACATATATTATGTAAATAGAAACTTTTATTTTGGATGCGATTAATTGTTTGACAGCCTTATATTACTTGTATCAATAATACAGCCTAAATCTCAGATAACGGCTCAGTGATTTGAAGCAAATGGCTCTTATAAAGAAGCAGAATGGACAAAATTTCTTGGGGAAATTTAGTTTAAAAGCAGTTCACATCAAAATTGTATAGTCATTTGAGACACAAATATGCTGTTTATATACATTTACAAAAAGTGTTGTCAGAATTAAATACTGTCATCATTTACACACACTTCTTTCTAGACAAATGATAACAAAATGACACATTTTAAATTTTTTGGTGAACTATCCCTTTAAGTAAGCCATAGTTTACATGAAACTGAGCCATGGTTTTACTCTAACTACAATTTAGTAAATATAAAAATAGTGACCTTTGTCATACTTGCTAAACAAGCTCAGGACACTTAGGTCCCTTGGTGAGTCTCAATTGCCAATACCAGAGATGACCGGAGCCCTTCTACCCTTTAAACCCCCTGCTCTGTTTATTTAGCCTGAATGTGTGAATGCATATGCATCTTACAACATTTCAACAGATATAATCAGTCTCACCCAGCTCAGTTGCCAAGTCCAGAGGTAGCCTTTACGAAGTAAGGAGTGTTGAGTGCGATGTTAACAGAATATGCTTTCAGCTTAGATGCCTTGAGACCTGGGCAGCAGATGGTCAACATGTTTCACTCAATCATTTGCTCTTCATCCAGCAGTAAATAAGCACTGGGTCATATGATCCTTTGGCATGACTTATCTTTTACAGTCTATAAAGTCCCATCAGATTTCATTGTCCTGGTGGTTGGTACACCTGAGGATGTGACTGCATATAAGGCAGGCACTGTTGGGTGTACATGGGTGGGAAATGAAGAGAGGCAAAGGGTATAGCACAAGGTGTGGGTAAAACAGCACTGGGAAGGGTCTGCTGTTGCAGTAGGACCTCAACATATTGGCAAGTTTCTGGATCAAACAGCATCTTGCGCTGTGGCATCTGAGGCATGTCTACATAGAAATACCGTCCAGTTTCTGGGTCCAGCAACAGTTGGCGAGGGTTTTGTCCAGCCGCTAGACTTCCTCCTACTTCTGGATACAGCACACCTGCACCCCCTAGCCTAGCCTCTCCACTCATGGGAGCAACAAAGATTGTGTTGGGTTGGATTTCTGGAGAAGGTATTTTTAGCCCTGCTTCTTTGTTCTGAGCTTGACTGGTTGAACCATCTGTTGGCTGGATTAGCACTTTTCCATCCTCCGAGAGGGATCTCAGTAAAGGGGTATGACTGTTCGATGCAGGAGGCTGGTTATAAGGAGGTGTCTGAAACAAAACAGGCCCTTGAACGTAGCCATGAACGGCTCCGATGTGAGGAGAGATTGTTTGGTAACCCAGCGGACTGGGTTTGTAATAATATGAGGGAACTGAAGAAACTGTTAGGACGCAAGCAGACAGAGGGCCCACTGAACTGGGAGGAAGGCCATCACTGATTATCCTGCCATGGTCCTGTTGCTCAGAACTTGCTGTGGGTGAACTATATTGCAGTGCTACTGGGAGAGGTTGATCTTTGTCCAAGTCTCTTTTTGTAGGCTCTTCAGTAGAAGTTTGCAGTGCCAGGTCTGTCCTGTTTGTTGGTTTCAAGATTGCATCACTGACTAGAACATCAGGTTTACTCATGCAAACTTGGCTGTCCTGTGTCTCTGAGGGTTTTGACGAGGCACAACTGTTTGCCTTGGTTACACCAACTTGGCCGACCTTTGTAAATCCAATTGTATGACATTTGTCATTTGATTCCACATGAGCCTTCGTTGAGCATCCTCTCGGTGCAGAGTGATCTCTCCTTCTGTCCACTGGAAGAGGAGGAGTGACTTTCCGCACCAGGGGTTTTTCATCTGGTTTGTATCCCTTTCCCTTTCCTTCACTCTTGTTGCTGCTTAGAGTGTGTATTGATGACTGAAACGAAGGAGCACTCCCATCTAGTCCATTTGTTATTTCCCCTGGGCCCTTAAAGGGCATATTGTAAGTGTTTTTCACCAGGCTCCTCATGTCTCTTACCACATGCACAGGGGCTTTCAATTTGCCTTGGCCTTGCATACCTAGGCTTCCAAACTGTCCTGGTGACCTGAGGTCCTCTCTGCCACTCTCTTGTTTCTTCCCAACCCCACCCTCATCAACTCGGGGATTGTATTATCCACTGCATTTGCCTCCATATCAGAGATTAGGCATGCGATATTTGTAGGACTGAGTGTACTTTCCATGCTGCCAGCCTGTTGCTCCTGCTTTTCCAGCACATTGGTTAGGGTCATATTGTGTTGTTTATGTATTCGCTGCTCTGTATGGCATTCTTCAGGTGTGGTTTTCACAGAGGCCGGTGTGCTGAGGGCTACATTTGATGCTGCACTCCAGTTCCACGCTCTACTCTTTGCTGAGTCACAGGATAGCTTCACTCCAGGGCTCAGGTTAGGCCGTCGCAACGCCTCCTCTCTTAGGCTTAGCTTCTCTGCTTTCTCATTCTCTGAAGGGTCTATTTCAGTACCACTACCTTGAACTTCAGACCTGCCAGTTCCACTTAAAAGAGAATTTAACCCATGTTTGCTTATCAGTTTAGGTTGTGTTTTAGAATTAACACTGCAATGCTTTTGAACAGAGCTGCACTCTGTTTGGGCCTCCCACGTAAGTGTAGCACTTTGAGTTAGTTTGGTAGGTTCATTATATACATCCTTGCCAGACAAATACAGGCATTCATCAGTCGTAGTAGTCCTATTGTTCACTTTGGTGGATGCAAAAGCTTTATCAGACACATCCAAGGTGCGAAGACTTTCTTCATGTTGCATCTTTTTTGATAGGACACTCGTTATGATGCAGGAAGCCATTTGTGTTTTGCTGGACGTTTCATCCAGGGAAAATGACTTCTGAAGCTTTTTCTTTCGTTCTGCCTGTACTGACTTTTGATCCGCCATGTGGGACTCCTGGTTAAATGCTGCCGGGGTGCTATGCTGACGCTGAAATATGTCTCGAGCACGCACAGTTGTGTTTGGAAACTGAAGGGGTTGATTGTTGTTCTCTCTGACGTGCGACTCTGCTGTGTCCCGTCTCTTCAGCTGGATTTGTCTTTTGGGAACGGTCTTTAAGCCTCGCTTTACTTCATCTGTAGTTTCCAACGCCACATCAACACACTCAAAGCTGCTGGACTCTGAGCAAACAGATGTGTTTTGAGTCTTTGAATGCATCTGCATTTTGAAAGAAAGAACATTTTCCGTCCAAATGTTGTCGTTTCCGCCAGTAGAAACCTGACTTGAGGGCCTACAGTTTGAACTGAAAACATGCCTGTAGTCAGTTTCAGAACAGGAAGATCTTACCTGGGCAAGGTTAACAACCTTACAACTGGCCTCAGCAAGCTTTGTTCCCATGCTGGTTGATCCTCTGGTATTGTCTGTAGAGTGACAGGGTTGCCAGGAGCTGCTACACAGCGTGCGGGAGAGTGGTCTGGACTGCCAGACGCCTTGCCGGCTCTGCTTTTCCAGACTCCGGGTATCTGCGAGACTCTGTAGCTGGTGTTGGTGCCTGGTTGCGGGGATACACTCTGAATAACAGTGTGGCGGGATTCTTGACTCCAGCTTGCTGGCTGTGAGTGTTGAGATGCAGTTTGCAGACGCTTTTCTATTTCTAGACCTGACTGACAGCTCAGCCTGCTCCTTTCTGCAACTCACCTCTCTACCCTCCCCCTGCCCCTCATTTCCCACATGACCCAGAACATGTCCCTCTCTTTCAAGCCTGCATTCAGCCCCAGGTGCACTCAGACCTTCTCTGGGTCTTTGCTTTTGTGTCGCATGGTACTCTTTTGGCTCTGTGTCACCATGCTCCTGTTCCCTTCCTTTGCCGTATTGATTTCTCTCAGGCGTTATCAAAATAGTGTTTAAAGTTGATCTGGGTTCTGGAGAGCTGTGCTCCTCAGCGCTTCTAATGTTAGTGTGAAAAACAGTCTCGATGACTCCTGAAGTATCCTGATTTTGTATGGGGTTTCCAAAGGCTGTATTTACAGAATACAAATCTACATTTGTACCTGTCAGCAGAGGTTTTGACTCACATTGGGACACCTCAGGCAGCACTTCTATACTTTTCTCTTGTGTTTTGTAGTCCTGTGGTAGCGTGGTGGCTTTGATAAACGATCTTGTTATGCCTTCCATAGAGGTAGCACAATCCAAGACCTCAAATGAGCCACCTTCAGTAGGATGCTCTGTAGGGAGCGATTGTGTTCTGTCCTCTGAAGCATCACTGTACTCACTCAGAGAACAAAGAGCAGTGTAGTATGAACTTGCCAAATCATCCATGATATCATCAGTCTGCTCTAGGTCACTTTTCCCTTCATCTCTTTGTTGGAGAGATGGACTATTTTTTTCTTTGATAGATGGAGATGACATTGACTTTCCTTTTTAAACAGATCTTGAATGCGATTTCTGATGCAATAACGTGGGACACCCTAGAATGGGGTGGATGTGCAGGTCAGACCTAAAGTGCAAGAGCAGAAATGTTTCCATCATGAAATCACATGTCCACAGTCTAACTGATTTTATCTAGGAAAAATAAGAATAATAAAGAGTTATATTTTAAGATGCTTTAAATTATACAGGGATAATATATCTCATGCATTTGATTTGTGATGTAATATTTGTGATTGTGTTTGACTTAACAGTGTTTGTCCAGGGAAGTACTGTAGAAAGACAGCTGCAGATCTGGTGCTTGAAACCATCTCATCTCTAATGAAAAACTTCACTCACCTGTCCAAGCAATCCAGAATCCGTCTCAGTTTGTGTTGAAATTCCACCGAGATGCTAAATCTGAATGAAAAGTGAAGGAAAATAATTGTTAACAGGCAAAATGTCTATAATAAGGACGAGTGCCCTCTTCAAAAGCATGCTAAGATAGGGACAGCAGAGGAGATGAATCAGACCTTATTTTCTGGCTGCTGAGGGTCTGGATCAGGAAATGTGGTTCAGGCCCAGTAGTAGCTAAGGTAGTGGTGTGGTAGTCAGCTTTGACAGTAGGTGCTGGTCTGGCTGTGCTGGAGCATTCCCTTTGCAATCTGACTAGCATAGCCAGTGTAGTCACAGGGCCAGCTAAATATAGTTCCCCAGGCCCCATAACACTATCATCAGGGAGATAGAGCTGAAGACTTGTGGGTACACTGTGGTAAGTATTGGGCTTTTAAATGGTCACTGCAAATAGAATGGTCACTCGGGTTATGTAGGTATCATTCGATGGTGTAAATTGGTCCTATTTAAAGAAGGCATTAAAGGTCTCACTATATCGAAATTAATTGCACAATGATCTGAACTTTGGCAACTTAACTATGGGAGGAAGCACTGTTGTTCGAAAGCAAAAAAGTTGTTCGAGAGCAGATGTGCACGTCCTCTCAAGTGTTTGTTGTGTGTTGCCAGCCAACTCTGAGACTTTCACTGAAATGGACATGACCATGCAGGCCATGACAGCTATGGCATTTGACCCACTTGGTCTTGGCTGTGCCTGATGGTTTAATGACATGATATAGTGGGCAGCAAGGATATAAGACTGCTTAATTTCACACATAGCGGTGCTCCAAAAGTTTATCATCCACATACATCAAACCTAAGGGGACCACCGGCATGCAAGTGTTAAGTTGTGAGAAGTGTATAGCATTACAGAGAGTTAAGAGCATTAGGCCATAACATAACTTCCATATTAGCATTTCACACTGTAACTACACACTGTTTATACATGGAAATGAGTGACATAATAATGCATAATAGGAGTGAAGATTTCTCACATCCCTCATTTACATTTATTAGCATTAATAGCAGACACTCAGAACAACTAATAAGAGAAGAGCAAAGTGCCTTGGTTTTAGGGTTATGAAGTGATTAAATGCATCAATACCCCAGTACACCAGATTGCAATAGTTACAACAGTCAAATTATGCTAAATTAACATATCTTCTTCGTAGAGAGTATAGCATAGGGTGAAGATGCTTTGCACAAGCTGCCGCGGTAAAAACTAACTTACTATGATGCAGACCTTCTTCCGAGATGGTATTCCCACGTTGTCGGAACTCTTTTTCATCAGCATCAGGGACCTCGGGGTCTCGGGTGTTTTGCCCCTTAACCTGAACACCTCATAGCCAACGTAGATAGACAGACAACCTAGTTTGAAGTAGAATACAGTCCTAAACTCCAAGCGAGTGCAGGGTCCACCTGCTGGCCGAATACAAGCAAACCATCTGAAATAATATTATATAATTGAATATAATAATTATAATTATAATATAATATTGGTCACCATTTTACAAAACTAGTTTGAAGTTTCTCTAATAAACAATCCTTTGTACAACCATCTGCCTACAAATAAAAGAAAAAATATTTAAAAATAAGTAGGCCTAATTCCATCAACATGCATTATTATGTAAAATGCGTAGGCCCTATTTGAAAAATCACTTATTGATCCGATAAATACGTAAATAAGGATAAAAAAAACCATTGCCATTAAATTATAAAACATTAAGAAAAAACATGAAAAATGCTGTTCTTCGTCCTCGACATCACAACTTAATCTCAGGAATCCCAGGAAACCGTATGATCACCACCTGTAGATTTAGATGATAGTTTAATAAAAAACACAGTCAAACACACATTTCAGTCTTATATCTATCAGTGTTTTAATGATGTTAATGTCCGCGCGCTGGACTCCTCCCCGTTTCGAGCGAGCATGCAGCTCCGCTCCCCAACATCATCAGATCTGCTCCTCTCGGGCCGCTGGGGGAGCACAGCTCAGCACACTGCACGGGACGGCGGAAAAAAGTCAAAGGGTTAACTTGGACACACATGCGGCGGTGTTTTGATTAAAAAACCCATCCAAGTGTACATTGAAGCGACGTTGTTATTCGCTGGAAGAATTTTCCTTGATATGGGATTTATTTTGAAAAGTACACACGCGCGTAGTTGAAGGATATAACTCCAGTATGCGGCAGTTTTGAAACAAAGGGGTCTGGTCCGGAGCGCCGTTGTCTCAGTGGTAAGACGCGCTGTTGTCTTAATAAAGAGCGTTATACTGTTTCCTATAATGTTTCATTTTCAGCTTCTGCTTTAGTTGAGATAGTCGCGGTCGATTAACGCGTTTAACCCGAAACTCATTGCTTTATTCGTTCACAACTCTCGTGTATACTTGATATCCTTGTAATAGGGGTCTCGTGGCGTCTCTGGCGTGCCGCAGGGGTGGATGTGCGGCGCCGGTCACTTTCATTTCGGACCGATTCCTTTTTTTTAAATGAAATTACGTGACCTTGAAATAGTGAAGGGTTGTCCATGTGTATCCCATTAATCAAGTCTTCCACGAATAAATAAGACAAAGTCGTGATTTTTGGGGGATGGAACTACTTGAACTTTTCTGGACGACTTCAAGCTCACTGTAAATTTAGAAAAGTATTTCCCCACAAGCAACCACTTGTGTCATGTCTTTAGTTCTCCTGAAAAACTGTGACATTTCCCCTGAAATAGAAGTAGGGTAGTTGAAGTTCCTAAACTGAACAGGGATTGCTTCTTTCCCTCTCACACTCTTGTTTGTGTTTAAGGATTGGGGCCCTTTCTGGATGGGAAAGATGGAAACGGAGGGGCAGTGGTGGAAAAGCCAGCTTGCGGCGGACATCCATCAGTCTCTGCGAATTAAGGTGAGATGAACATCTTTGTCACAATGCAGTTTTAATCCAAGTGTCATTATCTGGGCCTCCATCGCTCGGCTTGATTGCCAGACATTAAACCAGGATTGGTTTGACTTGCCCAAGCTTTAATGGGGAAGTGTGAAATGTCACACCGCCCTCAGAAAATGACCCCTGATTGTGGCTTTATGAAGGTTCCTGGGCACCTCATCGTCTACATTAGTATTGTATTTTGTTTTCAAACCACGCTTCACTGATCATGATCATGTTAAATATCATCTACAATTAGGAACGCTGTCCTAGGACTTGGTGATAATCACTAGGATCCTCACTAGGATTATTTTTTCACTTTAAAACTACTGTCGTATATGTATATGTTACTATATATATATTATTCAGCAAATGTTGTGAAAGTCTAGACCAGTGTAGAGCTTATATGTCGTTACTGGTAAACTGGACACATTTTTCAGTTGGGACACTAGGAAGTGTATTGCTAAACCATGTGAACTTTTGTTTCCTCACTGCTGAGCGAATTGCACCCATTAGACAGTGAGGTTTAAGTGCATTTATTTAGTGCAGTCTGTTGTCCTTTTATTGTCCGTCCTGTTTATTGTTGGGTGTGCTCACATCCGGCTTGGAATGTGAAGTGTTCTGTCTGCTTGTGTGGGTTTGTGCTTGAGTTTTGTCTGTTAGCTTGAGATTACTAAATCCTGCTGTGTTTATTCAGTATATGTCAAGGAGTGGAAGAATGATGTATTTGACAGAAAGTGGGTTGCATGGACTTTTTTTTTCGTGGCATGCTATTCTCTTCACCACTTGGTTGGTCAGAGTTGCACTATGGCATCTAGTGAGGAGGACTTAATGCACTGGAGATGCAAAGTGATTCAGCTGTTTAGTGAAATATCTGTTGGTGGATTTTATTAAGACAGAACAATCTCTCTCTGTTTACCATTGTGCAATGTGCAGATATGTTTACGGGATATATATATCACTACGATATATATTCAATACTGTAAGCTAAGAGGCTTTGAAGTTAATTGAAATCTTTTAGGAGGGTAATTAGCAGCCTCGCTTTTAATTTTGCTCCCAAATTAATTTCTGTAATGTTGTGTTTTCCATCACTTTAAAATGTGTTAGAGCAATGTAAATGGTAATATCCAAGCATATCTTTTCTCTCCTTTTTTTTGTATGTGTGATGTTTAAATGTCGATACCCATTTTATCGGTGCGCAATCGTAAAAATGTAAGACCACAGAGGTGCCAATCTGGTTTTATTTCCTCTAGGTTTGCCTTGTTCTAATATTTATTGATGCTTTAGTCACAATTAAAGCTTGTTCTCTTGAAAATGATTTGCATCAAGATATGCAGTTGACAATCTGATTCAAATACAGCAGCAGCTGTAGGGCTGTCTAAATTGCGAGCAGGCCCTACAAAAGGGCTCCTTGAGAGGGTCAAATCCCAGCCCCTCACCCCATGGGGGACAGATGGCAGTGAGACATGATGGCCAGGCCTGTAAAGGAACCAGCGTTTTCCTCAACAGCCACTATAAAGCGGCACACTTTGCCTGTGGGTCTCACGTCTGGAAAGAGTTTGACAATTTAGCCGCTTATTAAGTGTGACTGCAGCCTTTTCGGGTATGTTAGAAAAT